TATATATATATATATATATATATATATATATATATATATATATATACACACACACACACTAGATAACTATGAAATCTAAAAAGTATAATTATCAAATATAAATGTAAAACGGTTTATATTGTGATAGTTATAGGAAATCATTAAGAAAGAAAGATAAAAGATAAAATACATAAGGTTAATGCATTAGTGAGCTGTTACTATTCATCCTTAGCCTGATTAAATTCGTCTACCCCAAACCTGTAATCTGTAACATCCGGAATCTAGAAGGACAATTATGGAAATAAATTCCCGTTTTAGGGGCCATCTCGTCGAGTTTATGGCATAAACTCGACGTGTTGGAAGCTTTTGGGGCACATGTTTTTTTAAGGACCAACTCGTCGAGTTGGTGTAGGGAAACTCGATGAGTTGGACGCTGTTTGAGAAAACCCTAATTTTAGGGTTTTGCACCCTATTTAAAGACCTTAACTCCCTTTGTAGGCCTCCTTACCAGCCTCCTTGTCCAGAAAATCCTAATTTCATGTATTATCCTTCAAGTTTGAGTGTGTGAGCTTGTGGTGAGCTTGGAGAGTTGGTTTTTGGTGTTCTTTGGAAGGAGTTTGAAGAATGAAGGTGCTTAGTTTGGAAGGAAGGCTTTGGATCCAGAAACTCTCCATTTGTTGCAATCCTTTTGAGGTATAAAGTCGAAACCTTGTGTTGTTATCTTCTAGATCTCTTTGTGGGATGTTTTAGCTTGATTTTTGGGTGTTTGGTTGGGTAGTCCAAAGGTTAAGGGTTTCAAGGGTTATTATGTTAGATCTGACAGTTTTATGACCTCTCTTGGCATAAAGTTTCAAGCTTTGCTAAGTCCTAAGTCCCATCTATGCATTAAGTCCTTTGTTAAGCCATTTTGGGCTCTAGGGTTCCTTTCTTGCATGCATGGACGTAAATTTGGAAACTTTTCGTGATAATCCAGCCTTAGGATGCTATATCTATGTTTTGGGACTATGTTTTGAGAGTTTAAGGGCCTAATGGGTTAATCCTCACTCTATTAAGTCAAGGATTCGGGTTTGGGTTCGTTGTAGTGGTTTTTTAAGGGTAAAGTTGGAAACTTTACCCTTCTAGTCATCATTTGGGAAGAGATCTGAGATTGGAAGCTTCTAGATTCGATGGAAACAACGTAATGCAATAAGCTGTTTGATTCCTGGCCAACTCGGCGAGTTCAGTAGGAGAACTCGGCGATTTGATGCGAGTTTTCCTGATCTGTGCCTTTAATGGAGAAACTCGACGAGTTGAAGGACAACTCGGCGAGTTGGGTCAACTCGGACCGTTGAATTGGACTTTTGAATTATAATTAAGGGAGTTATGGACTTAGTATAAGGCCCGTATGGGGTTGGGCCCAATTTGGAAAATTAGGCCATTATTGGGCTTTGATGGATCTAGAAGTTTCTGGTATTGTGGGCTTGAGTTGTTAATGGGCCATCGGGATACAAAGTGTTTGGGCTAGAAAGAATGGTTGGGCCTTAAGGCAGGGATATGTAAGGAGTTTGGGCCTAATTTGGAAAATTGGACCATTGGTTGATTAGTAGGCCTTTGGGCCTTTCAGATTGTAGTTTGGGTCATGGGCTTGGACAAGGCTAGGTTGGGGATAAAATGGTCCTTTTACCCTAGGTATGGAGTTGTGGTTATGGATTGGAGCCCAATTGTTAATTGGGTGTATTATTGATATTGCTAGTTCAGGAAGTCGTCAGGGCAGCAACTAGGGATTCTTTCAGTGAGCTTCTAAAGTGCGAGGTGAGTCTCCTCGTTATATCCATGGGTCGAAGGCATCGATGCCGACCCATTATGTGTTATGTGGTATGATAGTTGTTCTGTGATATGTGGTATGCTAGTTGTCTCTGTGATACTTACATGGAAGACCTCGGGGGGGGGGGGGGTGCCAGAGGCAGTTGGATATCAGACCATGGGGGTGCCCATGGCATTCCAGGCAAAGACCATGGGGGGAGCCCATGACATTCCGGATAACGACCATGCGGGGGAGCCCATGGCAATTACATGTATATTGCATGATATTCTGTGGTTGTATGTTATATGGTATTTTGGGGAACTCACTAAGCTTTGTGCTTACGGTTTTTAGTTTATGTTTCAGGTACTTCAGTTTTCAAATGAAAGAGCTCGAGACGATTGCAGATTTGCAGGGCACACACCACATGTTTTCCGCATTCTGTGAATTACTCTGATTTGATGATGTTTTTGCTAACTCTTGGTTACCTTGGTTTCATGAGAGAGAAATGTATTAACGATCTATTAATCAAAAAGAAAAAAAATTATGTCATGATTTTTGGGGCGTTAGACAATCGTTAATCTTGCGAGAGCCAGAAAGATATGTATAGATCTATACGGGGTTTAACGCCCCCACTTGCGATTACTAGCTACAATCACGACATGATACCTTTCTTATTACTCACTATTCGGCATCCGATGAAGCGTCGTGTGGGGAAATCACTAGTCAAACAACGTCGATTATGGAGGCTCATGGTAATACATTACAACCACCTTAGAGATCTAACTACCAAGAGGGGCGTCTTAGATTGGTAGATAAACCATTAGAATTAACAGAATATCCTAAAATATAAAGATAATAAGATAGGATTGGTAAAAATCCTACAAAGATAGTAAGTTAGGATTGGTAAATGGTCCTATAAAGGTAATAAGATAGGATTAGCAGAATTATATAAAAAGATAATAAGATAAGAGATAATAGCATAGGAAACCAGGAATTTAAGAAAAATGATTATAATCATTATAAAAATTTCTAGAAAGTTTTCAAAGAGAGTTTATCATATGTTTATCTCAAAACCTGTGAATTTACCAACATCAAGTTGACATTTCCAAAAATCGCATGTGTTCCTAGGATGGTGTAAGGATCAAGGCAAGGAAGGACTGTCAACTCGAAGATAGATGGGTTTCGTTTGATAGATAGTTATGGTTTGCGCTTTGTGATTTGTAATGTATTAGAGACTTTCCGAGCTAAAAAAATAAGTTATAGACCAAGAGCACAAATTACCCTAAACCATAGGGACCATTCGTGTAATTTACTCTTAATTGAATTGTACAATACAAAACTTTAAAACACAAAGACGTGTTCCGCAAAACTAGTTGGTAGCGGGTAGCTTTTGATTTTGGAGCTTTTTGTTGAAAGCTACTCCATGTAGCTTTTGATTTTGGAGCTTTTTATTTAGGTTAAAAGTTAAACGCTCCTGTCGCCGAACGAGATTTTTTCTTTTTAACTAGCTTTTTCTTAAAAACTAGAAATCTGACGAACACGTCCAAATTGTTGTATATGTACAAATTTTGTTGTTAATGAATCCCTCCTCAATGAGTCGACACAACTTTGATTTTGCTAAATTAAGTATACAAATTAAACAAGTGAACAAGGGTGGGCACCACAATAAGATATGAAGAAATGCAATTAATGTGGCTCGAATGCAAACACGATGACCAATCCACCATTGTTGTCCACCGTGACCACCAGCTCCAGCAGCACAAAAAACCCTGCATCTTCCCACTCGGCTCCACAAAATTCTCACACACGTTACTCTGCTGAAATCAATGGAGCTCTGTGGAGCTTCTGCTCTGGCTTGGAGAACCTCAATTTCTCCTTCTCTTCACTCTTCTCCTCAGCCGACTTCGGTATCATCTCCCTCTATCTGGATTTGTATTTTACGTTGTCGAAATTGATGTGTTAGGGTTACTTTTCCTTTTCTGTTTCAGGTGAGTGAATTCAGAAGAGTTAGGGTTTGGTGTGTTAAAACCGACGTCAATGGCTCGTCTCAGTCGGTTAAGGTGAATGAGTTTTCTGCATTTACTTATCCATCATCCACACATTGATTGTAAATTCTATGACGAGAATCGAAAAAGATGATTATTCAGTTGAAGTAGTTGTATAAATTTTTAAATCACTGCGTCTTTTGAACAATTAAGAAAATATCATTCGGATATATCGAAGGTGGAACTACATTTTAGCCTTAAAATAGCGTTTACAAGTGTACTTACTTTGAATTCTCAACTTCATAAGTTTCCAGCCATAGAAATCGAACGATTCCTCAAGTCATATATACTATGCAAATTGTAATGCTTCACTTTTTGGCGAAAATTCCAAGCTAAATTATTCGCCATAACCATCTATTTCATGATGTTACTTGTAGCGATGTTTGTCCACAGGAAAAAGTCAAAGTTTAGCTCTTTTCTTTTCAAAAGAAAAAGGAATATCAAACTCTTTCATAATCTATTGTTGTTGGTGGAAAGCTGATCTACTCTTGGGTTTGTTGCAGGGTAACCAGATGACAGTATCTATAACAGGAGCTACAGGCTTTATAGGGAGTAAATTGGTGCAAAGGCTCTATGAAGGTATTAATATTCCATGATTCCATCTATCTGTTTCAAAGGCTCTTGGATTTACATTCTGGATTTTTGTGATTGCTCTTACAACAATGTATCAACTTTGATATGTTGTTTACTACTTCAGAGTATTGATGTGGCATGTTGCAGAATCTTTTACATTATAACTTTGTTGTTTACTTTATATCATAATAGAATTGTAACTGAATCTTAATTAACTCTGGAATGCAGATAACCATAGTATCTGTGTCTTGACTCGATCTAGATCTAAAGCTCAGTCAATTTTTCCGGGTAAGAAGGTAATAGTTACTGTTTAAAAAAAATCATAATATCCGATTCATTCTGGAAATGAATCTTCAATTATAACAATGTCAATTAATATAAAGCCCTCTTAAAAGTCTTTGCTTTCATCTTAAATTCTAAATTCTAAATACTCCTTTATTGGTTGTAGTGAAGGATTTCCCAGGCATTGTAATTGCAGAGGAGCCTCAATGGAAAGATTGCATTCAAAAGTCAACTGGAGTTGTAAACTTGGCTGGATTGCCAATTAGTACAAGATGGTCTTCTGAGGTAAATAAACCATCTTGGTTAATAAATGGAAAGATTGCTTCTTTACAGCTGTAATTATTTATTCAAGGTTAAATGCAAGAAATAGCATTGTAATTTCATTGACTTGTTTATCACAAGATTGATATAGTATTAGTAGTGTCATCCAAATACAAAGTAATTATCATGGGTAGACTTTTTTAAAGTATAATATCAAAATAAGACAAATATTGAAATCACATTGCCATAATTGAGTAGATTCTTCAAAGTACAAAGCCTTAATAAACAAACTGAAAGTACAATGTTGTAATAAGATGCTGTAATACACAAATAAATGAAGCTACATTCCTATTTCTTGCATTTAGCCATTTATTCAGTTAGCTCAAGTTGGCTAACATTTTGTACTAATTTATCATATAGTGGGCCACATCAGCATCACTTGTTGGCTTTTATACATATTTTTTCTCAACAAGTGCATTTATTAAGAGCAAAATCCAAAAAGCCTCAATGTACTTTCACTATTTTAACTGTTCTCTATAGTGTTAAACCATTATACTTTTTCTACTGTTTATAGAAATCATTGTGTAATACTAAATAATATGATTTTTTATTTTTTCAACTGCAGATCAAGAAAGAGATCAAACAAAGCAGGATTGGAGTCACCTCAAAGGTTATTTATTGTGTTACATTAAAAAAGCCCTAAGAAAATGCAAAGTAAAAGCTATATATATATATATATATATATATATATATATATATATATATATATA